ATTCAGTAGTCAAGCTGCGCCACATTTTAATGCATTGCCACGTTCATTTCCACATATTAAAGCAGTAGCATTAGATGCTATTAAATATCAAAAGTAAGGTTATGAAATAAATATAAATATTTATATAATTAAAAAAATCTAAAAGCTTTTTAAATTTTCCATAATTTCAGTTTTAATGCTCAATATGGAATTGTTGGAGTTCCAACATTAATGCTTGTTCATAATGGAAAACCTGTAGCAAAATTTAATTATACTGTTTACACATTGGAAACTTTTGCAAAATTTATAACACAAATTACTAATTTACAACCAAATGGATCATTATATGTTACATCTTTGGATTTTTCTGGTCCTGTTTCTAGTACACCTTCTAATGGAACAGATTATTGTTTAGTTCTTTCATGGATTTTCATTACTGCATGTGCTTTGTATTTTACATCTCAAAGTAGATGGTGGCAACAATTTGTAGAATTAATTCAAAATACATGGCGTGAAAGTAATGCTCAACATGAACATGTTGATTAAAACATAAAAAAAGAGACTATTTTTATTCCATGTAACAAAAACATGGCATGAAATTCAAATATGGTATTATTATTGATTTACGTGATAATATATATTGTAATTATTAATTAAGACAATGTATATATACTTTGCTAAATAAGTAAAATACAGAAATACATACTGTTATACAGAAGGATATATTGTCTAATTATTATTTTTTACCTTCTGTTAGTATTTATAAAATTATTTATTATAAATTTTGCATTTTATATAATATTTCATAATATTGTAATAATATTGTAATTATTGTAAATATATTGTAAAATATAATTTTATCTTTTAGTAATATATTATTGAATTATAAATTACAGGAAGTTTTGCAAATGCGAAGTTTGTTCTAATGAAACCTGAACATACCGCGCGCCTTTTGTCAATTGAGCATCTAATTCATTTTCAATTGCTATCAATTGTTTTGATGTATGTACTATAATACAAATGATTTGAAACTCTCGAGAGATGAAATCTAACAAGATTATAATAATTTGTATTGCAATGAAACAATTATGATGTTGTAAATAATAAAGCTTGAATTTGACTTCGATAGTTAATATACCGAAACTCGCATGTAATGGCCGACTTCGCGATTCACTTATCACATCCCTAACTTCATGATTGTTGTGTGCGGCATTTGTTTGCGCTGAAGTTCGTCTCTAATGAGTTTTGTTATCGCTGTTATTATAAGAAAGAAATGCCGTTTATTTTTATGTAATATAATTGATTGCAATTAAATAGATATTCTGTGAAAAGCCAAGTCTTCCGAAGAAACAACATGACATTGTTCTATATCTGGATATATTTGAAGAGTTATACTGATTTTTGTGATTCATCATCAGGTTAGGTTCTTAACAAGGAGCCGGCTTTGTTTTTTAATTAAAAATAAAATAGACAAACGTAAAAAAATCGAGTTAAGTTAATAAAAAAAGTAGAGGGTCAGATTAAGGTCAACAAAGACCCTCTATGAGATCAGCACCAAAACGAAAAAGATAATGGGCTCGTTGAATCTTGTCTGCCCAATGTGCTGTGGTGAAACGTTTAACAATCCACAGTCATTAAAGTACCATTTATTAAGCATGACGGACAACCTATACTGTCCTGGTTGTTCGCAGCGATCTGACTCAGTAATGGCACTCATTCAACATTTGGATCGGTGTGGACAAAGCGTTGAATCAGAGGTATCATCTGAATCAAAACGTGATACTGAGGAAGATGCTCAACAGGAATCTCAATCAGTAGATACAGAAGTGTTAATGGTTAATACCCAATGAAAATTTTTGTACTTATATTCTCTTTGGTTTTTGTTTGATAATTCTAATTTTAGGATACAAATGTTGAAGGAATAGATCAAAGCTTTCTAGCAACTGTAAATGACACTGGAATTATGATAGTTGGTGGGCCTCAAACTATACAAGTTGATGAAAATGGTGTGTAAACATGTAATTTAATCTATCTTAATTCTGTTTGTTTGACTATTATTTCTAATGAAAATATCAGGAGATATTAAAGTCGTAGAAAAGATGGAAACTGAAGAGACACACATGGAGCAAAATTCTTTGGAATTTAAGATGTCAGAAAAAGTTCCTAATATTGCAAGCAAAGCAGAAGAAAAATCTTTATCTCAGGATCAGTTAGTGGCAATTTCAACCACTTCAGAAGCAGATGATAAAAATAGAAATAAAAATGTAATTACTATTTTACCTGATGGTTCAGAACTTCTTGATGGAGATACTGGTGCTTTGATAAATATGGATCATATAAATGATGTAGGTGAATTAGATGAAGATGGACTTTTACATGTTAAACAAGAACTTTGTGAGGTATGAATAATAAAGATAATATTTATACATGAATAAATAAATTATATAATTAATAAATGTAATTTTTACAGATTGAACCAGAAGCAGTTTACAGTTGCACTAGTTGTGACATGAGCTTTAATTCTGTTGTGGAACATATAAAACAATTTCATGATGGACAAGAAGTACTACTTGAAATAGCTGATCAATTAGATGATATTCCTACAGTACCTGCAACTAACACCTTAACTTCAGAATCAGGAAATGTAATCAATAATAGACAAAGGCAAAGTATGAATACTCTTCGTACAGAAGAATGTGTGGACAGTGAAGGAAGATTATATACAAGAAAAGTAGTACAAATAGAAAGATTCTGGGATAGAACTCCAGCACAAACATCACTTCAATCTACTAAAGCACCAATGATTGAAAAATTTTTTTCTAATGTAGAAGGAGTGAAAGTATGAAAAGTGTTTATTTGTCTATTTATTATAATCAATCTTGATATTTTTTTCATATACATTGATTATAGGTACGAGAAAAAAGATTGGCTGCAACACCAATGAGAATGTATAGATGTAATCAGTGCCTTCAGCAGTTCTCTAAATTAGGAAACTTTCGAGTTCATGCATGTCTTCATGGCAATAATCGTTGTGATAGTTGTGATCAAACTTTTGCAACACCGAAAGCATTACAATTACATGCAAAAGTACATGAAGGTGAACCTGATCCAAATCAAAAAACTTTCATATGTGAAACTTGTGGTACAGAATTTTGTTCACATAAAAGTTTGCGCTTGCATTCTCGAATGCATGCACCAGTCAGAGCAAGGCATGTTGATGCACCTGAAGGAACACCTAGTGCAACATTCACGTGTCCTGAGTGCGGTAATGTTTCGAAAATTAAATTTAAACATAATTAATATAATTTTTTTTTTAAAATACACTAATATTTATTTATATATTATTATATAATTATTTAGGTAAAACATTAGCAGAATCATACAAAGAAGCGCACATGGCATTACATTCTGGTGATTCTGTTACTTGTACAGTATGCAACAGGAAATTTGATTCTGCTGATAGTTTAGCAATGCATGCCGCGGTACATACAGAACTAAGTCAACCACATTCACCAACACCACCTACTACAGAGACTGCTACAACTGCTGAACCTGCAGAAAATCAAAAGCCTTATCAGTGTCAACACTGTGGTCGCAGATTTACAAGACCTCATGAGAAAGTAAAACATGAACGTATCCATACTGGAGAAAAACCACATGCATGTGAGGTAAGTATATTAAAAATAATATCATTTCTATTATAAAAATAATCTACTATCTCTCAGGTTTGCGGTAAAACTTTTCGTGTATCTTATTGTCTGACTTTACATATGAGGACTCACACTGGAGTCAGGCCATATGGATGCCAACATTGTGGTAAAAGATTTAAGGCTTCATCCGTATATAATCATCATTTGCTTACACACGGAGAAGAACGTGCTTACACATGCCCATATTGTCCAAAAACTTTTAAAACACGTGTTCAATTAGCAGGGCACAAAAATAGTCACACTAAACCATTTCGATGCACTGAATGTTCCCGTCCTTTTGCTTCTTTGTATGCCGCGCGTGCTCATATACAAACTCATAAAAAAGATAATAATTTAAAGTTCAGTTGTTATATTTGTGGTGCATCCTATGGTAGAGCATTTGCATTAAAAGATCATTTAAAACAACATGGTCAAGACGTATTAGCTCCTCCAGAACCAGCAAGAGAAGAAGAAATTCATGAAGGAGAAGATTTTTTGCTTGCTGAAGAAGAAGTTGAAGATGATGAATTAGTTATTCCATCACCATTACCCGTCGCGCAATCATCAGAAGCTGATGATACAGAATGAGACTATAAAAGCTAGTCATATGTTTGTTATAAATTGTAGTTTAATATTGTTTAATGTAATGGAAAATGATGATGATGAATGAATCCCTATTTTCCATAGTGTTCAAAGACTATCAGCAGGATTTATATTCATGCATTAAATGTTATAAAATTTTAGTTTTTATGAACTGACATTCTAATGTGAATTGCTGCTGTGACTAGACATGAATAGTATTTGTTTGTAAATAATACAAATATACAAATATTTGTATTATTTGTAATTATTTGTAAATAATACAAATAATACATATTACAAATTTGTATATCCTCAATGGTATTGTGCGGATAGAATATGTGAAATATGAATAGCAATTGTATCAGAGATAGTTTTATTATGCCTGTTTAATATATTAAAGTAAAAAAATCTATATTATTTAATTTATGATCTATTTTAACAATTGAGTTACATTATTAGTTGCAACTATGTTGTGAATTTCAATACTTCATACCTTTCTTAATTTCTACTTTTTTAGTTATTTAATAGTAATATAAGATAATAGTAATATAATAAAATGAATTACAAAATATTTCTTTATTTTAACTATAAAAAAATAAAAATCTAACAAAAATCTTTCTCAAAGATTAATATTAGAATTAATTCTAAGAGTTCCAATGGTGTTAAAAATTTATAATATAAAAAATATAGATGTATTCGTAAAAAAGTATATAAACGATTAATAATTTCAATTATTTTTAATCTCTTAAAAAAATAACATTTAGTACTACTGAAATTAAATATTTGCATAATTAAATCGTACTATTAGTATAACTTTTATATATTTTTCGTACATTAAAAAAAAATTATGAAAAATCGTTTAGATAATTTTATGACTGACTAGAAAATAATCTACTAAGTACAAATTATATAAAGTGTCTAATAAAAAATATATAAATAATAAATATATGATATATAAATCACAGCTACGTAAAATATTGTGCAAAAATATTTTTATTTAAATGTGCCAAATGTACATTCTTGTACATAAACAAAATCTAATTAATTTATATAGATAAAAAAAGCTACCGCACATCATTATACAAATTATACAAATTTATATGAAATTCATGTGTATTCATATACATTTTCACCAAATAAAATATACTTATAAATTAAAATATAAATCATCATTATTTAATAATGATGATAAATCATCATTATTTTTCATAAAAAAAAATATTTTTTTAAAAATATTTCCAGAATTGACCAATTATTTTTAACCGAAATCTCATGTTTCAAACTTTACTAAAGTGCTGAATAAACAAACTTGTTCTTGATGTTATAATGTACCATCTGTTGCATTTAGATTAAGTCTCTTGCAATTATGATTAAACCTTTAGTACTTTATTAGAATTCATGTCGTTCTTGTGCCTTATTAAAATAAATGACATGGGTTTTTTAAATTTGTGGAATAAAAGTTTTATGTTAGATATACAATGGAATTATCATATAGAGAATAATTATGATTTTGCATCTGCTAATTTGGAAGTATGATTTTATTTAAAATATCGATTAGTTATTATATTCACTATTAATATAATTGACAAATATATAAATTCTTAGTGGGAAAATGTCGACACTAGTAAGTATATGTTTCCCAGAGAAATTTGGGAAATACGTCCTATGTGGGAAATAATTGTAAAAATCATCAGCATTTTACCAATTATCATTATTGGATCTTTTGCTAATGGTGGATTAATCTACGTGATACTCAAAGAAAAATCTTTACATACTACAACTAATCTCTTAATTGTGAATATGTGTATCGCGGATTTAGGTACATGTTTAATATGTCCATGGATATTTCTTTGCGTCGATCTATTTCAAAATTATATTTTGGGAGAGATTGGCTGTCGATTGGATGGATCATTGGTCCATGCTTTAACATTAGTTGCAGTTTTTAATTTGAGTGCAATTAGTTATGATCGTGTTTCTGCTATTGTCCTTAATTGCTCGGGAAAATTAACAAAAAGGTGATAAAATAAAGTATTAAAAATATAAAAATCATTATATAACAAATAATATATATATTACATTTTTTTTATCATGGATTTTATTTGGATCATGGATATAATCATGGATTTTTATGGATTGATATCATGGACATTATATGGATTATACATCAGGATGATGTATATTTTACTTTTTTCTACTTGGATTTTTGGAATATCTGTTGCCATTCCTTTGATTTATTTTCGTCATTATTATGAAAGACAATGGAAAAATTATTTAGAAACTTATTGCACTGAAGATACTGTACTTATTTATCCTTATTGGCATATTTTTGCTGGTTTAAGTGTTTGGGCACCATTGACTATCATGGCAATATGTTATACAGCTATTCTTATCAAAGTATTAAAATGATAAAGTATTTAATTTTTCTTATAAATATTATAAAAATATAAATATAATCTATAAAATATCGAATTTTAGTTAGATCGTTATGAATCACAAGCTCTAAAAAATAAATATCCAATTGTAGTAAAATATAAAGGAAAAGTAGCACAAATATTGGCTCTTATAGTTGTAGCATTCATTATATGCCGTGTACCATTTACCGCATTAATAATTCGTAGAGCACAATTATTGAAAGAAACGCCTAAAACAGGACAAGCAGAAGCTATATATCCATTATGGTAAATATTTCTAAAAAATTAATAAAAATATTTTTCCAATATATATGTAGTATATAACAAATAAACAATTGTTACAGGTATATTAGCAGATATTTAGTATTAGTTAATGCAGCAATAAATCCTTTATTATATAGCTATAGTAGTAGTTCACTAAAGAAAGAATTAATGTTGTACTCTGCTACATCTTGGCTAATGCAAAAAAAAAAACAAAAAGTATTAAAAACTTGTATTATCTCAGGATTAAAAGCACAAAATTCTCATAATCTAAAACCACAATTTCCTTGTATACGAATCTTTTATAAAGACAGAAATACAATACCACATATTTCATCGACTATTATATGATCAAATGTTAGAATTCTATTTAATTAATTTTATAAATATATTTTATATATTTTATTGAGAAATATAATGAGAAATATAAGAATAGGATAAATAATATTTAAAATCTTAAATTTCTTGTATAGATGCATTTCTTATCTATTTTTATATATTATATACTTACATCAAAAATATAAAATAGTAATGCAAGCAATTAAATAAGAAACGGCAGTTTTAAATATAAAGCATTTCTCAATATAAAACAGATTTGATCAATTTTTGTAAAAATAAAAATGCATGGATACCTAGATATCTGAAGCATTATTATTTAATCGCTACATTTTTAAGACTATCAGTTGTAAGTTTGCCACCATTGACAGTAAGTAAAAGATTTCCATTCCAAGATGCTTCCCCATTACCATTTACTACGAGATCAACCTATAAAAAATTTAATTTAATAGTAACTTGTGAATATATAACTTCTTTCATTTTATTATATAAAAAACAAAAGTATACTTGTAATTTTTCCCATATTTTTTTTTTGGGATTAAGTACATCATCTGGTGATCCATCTTCATATCCATCCACAATTACTTTTTCACCTGGCTTGCTGTCTAATGGAGGTCTCAATGGTTCTACTCGTCTCATTGGTTCATCCCTATTATTAATAATTTAAAAATTATTTAATGTAATACATATAAATTTATAAATCAAAACAAAACATACATTGAAGCACATAAAACCATTCCATGGGATTGAACACCTCTTAAATTTGCTGGTTTCAAGTTTGCAAGAACAACTACCATTCTATCTTTCATTTGTTCTAATGGTACATAATTTACAAGTCCACTGACTATTGTACGAGGTCCAGTAGCTTCTCCAAGATCAATTTTTTCTACATAAAGTGAATCAGCATCAGAATGTTTTGATACTTCAATTATTTTGCCAATTCTAATATCTAATCGAGCCGGTGTTAATTCCTCAATAATTTCTAAATATTTAACATAAGTGTTTCATATTATCATTTAAATTTATAGTTTGTTCAATATTTGTTTTATATGAAAAAAATATTACTTGGCTTTTGTGGAGGATATGCTTTATTCGCTAAATTTTTTAATTTTGAATCTGTTTCAAATTCTTTTCTAATTGGATCTAAAAGTTTATTGATATAAATCTCAACTGCATTTTTTAAATCTCCAGGATGTATTTCTTCTTTAGCGAATGCATTTTCTAAATCTTCATATGTATCAAATGATATATCTCCACCTAAAAAAAGATGTATTATATATATTTGTATTTATTAAAAATATTAAAAATAAAAAATGAAACATACCAAATTCAGCTGTTCTATATATATTAAAAGATTCTCCTTCTTTTAATAAAGGATATATTACATATTTGGCAAATGAAAGTACTCCATTATCACTAATATTACCAGGTTCACAAAATGCTTTTTTTAACTTTTTTTTAACAACAGAAGCATTATCTAATAAATCAATCTTTGAATCTTCTTCAGAAGAAGACATTTTTGATCCTGCTAATCCAGGTACTGAAATAAAATTTTGTATTTATGATTTATAAATTTTAAAAACTAATTTTTGTATTTGATTTTAATATAATGTTTTTTGTTGCACACATACTCATTGGATTCATTAAATGAATACGTTTTTCATAACCAAGTAATGGTAAATATTTTTCTGAAAAGGTGAAAATTTTTCTTTGATCTATTCCACCAAACTGAGCATCAACTTTAAGATATTGTTCATCCAAAGCTTGTAAACCTGGATATAATAATCCAGAAAGCAAAGGATTTACAACTTGTTTAACTACTTCAGCACCTGCTTTTTTTGCATCATGCTCAGTAACAATAGAACTTAAACGATACACATCTAATGTATATTCCCTAGAATAAAAAGTAATTGATATAGCATATATTCTATCAATTTTTTGCTTATATTTAATCATATATGATTACTTACTTGGATAATTGATAATCAGTTCCTTTAACAAACTTTAATTTTTCTAAAGGTACATCAATAGATTTAAGCATAGCTTTAATGATTTTTTCATAATATTGGGTACGTAATTCTAAAAGTTCCCATGGTGCTTTCATATTATCCAAATAAGCATGAAGATCAGCAAATAATATAGTAACTTCTGCACCAGATTTTAAGAAATCTGCTATCTTGGACATTGGTGTAAAATAGCCAATATGAGGTCTACCAGTTGTAGCAGTACCCCAATAAAGCTTCAAATCTCGTTGTTTGAGAATACTTTTAAGTTTTTCATCACCAAGCCACTCAGCTAAGTTTCTTGTGATGAGTTCATATTTTTCTTCCCATTTCAGTTCAACCATGTTTATAGCACTAAATAAAAGATAAAACTAAAATTTTAGTTTTATATAGATAAATTAAAAATAAAATTAATGATTATACTTATTAATTAAATAAAATGACACATGTGTTTAGCCACGTGTACTTACGACACACGTCAAATTTCTAAACTTAACCTATAATTAATTTTAATTATAATAACATTGATTCTAATTAAATTCGTGCAAATATTTTAAATAATATATAATTCAATAAAATATAATAAATTAATACCAATATTATAACATAATTATAACAATTGTAACTATTTACTTAATATCTGTTTAAAATAAATCAATTGAAAATCAAAATTAAAAAATAATTAAATTCTTTATGTATGATATAAATTATTATCTTAATATTAAATCAATTACATTGCATAACTTCTTAAATACAATAAATTTTTTCGGATATAATAAATCCAAAAAAAGTTGATAAGTTGAATGCATGTACTACTGAAGGTATAGTGAGAGTGAGAATATGAATAAGATATTGAAGCATATAAAAACATATATACTTTCAATTCATTATGAATATTCATAATTACAATTCATAATTATAATTCATTATGAATTTAGAATAATGTTTTTTTTTAAATTATTGTTATATAATTTTTGTTGAAATTATTATTATATAAAATTAAATATTTAAATAATTTTAATTTACTATATTTTTTTTTAATTTGTTTATTATTATTCTCAATTTCATAATTCAATATTTATTATTCTCAATTTCATTAATCATTTCATTCTCTTCATTTAATATTTCATTATCTTCATTTTGTCTATAAATTATTGAATCTATTTTCTCAAGTTTATTAATTTTTTGATATCTTTCTTTAGCAACATCTTCCAATCTTTTATAAAGAATTGATGTTGTAGGAAACATACGTTTGAAATCACGGCGATCTAAACGAACTACTTCACATACTTCTAGCGCGATTACAGTTTCTAATCTTTTTCGATCTGGAAATATTATAGCTCCTTCACCAAAGTAACCTCCATCTTTTTCATGACATATCTTAAAAGGAAATTATTAATTTTTATTACTTTTATAACATATATTAATATAAAATAAATTCGCATACTTCTTTTCCAGAGAATGTAATAAGAGCAACAGTTCCACTAACTATAAAGAACATACAATCACCTTCAGTTCTACTTTTATATATGATATCTTCATTGAGATAAATGACTGGTTTTAAAATTCCTATAAAAATTTAACATTGAAAACAAAAAATCTTTTAAAATAAAAACATATTTTTATTTTACCCATTAAATTTCCAATGACATTGCGTGGCAAATGATGCAAAATGATTGCTGTATCTAACAATCCACGGCTACTGTGCATCATAATTTCTTGATTTAAAAGATCTAAATTTAAAAGTATATATTTATAGAAAATTATTTATTAAAGTTGATACAAAGTTTTTATCCAAATTAAGTATTAACTTGATAAAGTACGATATATTGCATTTTCTTTAAAATAACTGCCTTGAAAACGATACTCGTAATAATCAATAAGTCTTTTTTTAAGATTTTCTGGAAATTTTTTTTGATGAATATATTCTTTCACTTGATATATAACTTGTTGATATTTTAATTCTGCTTCTGCAGCTGATTCAACCAATTGTAAGATTATAACTATCATAATATAAAAAATAATTAAAAAATTATTCTTAACAAATAATTATATCAAAAAAGAAATAATTACCTAAAAAATAAATTATAAATCCTTTTCCAAACAATAGTAAAATACAACGTGTTATTATATCCATTTTACCCAGGGAATAAAATTCTAAACAAGTCGATGCCATAATATTACTCATGCCAATATGAAGATACATTAAATAAATATCAGAATCAGATTTCTCATACAATTTAGAAGTAATTAAATACATATCTGAATCCTATAACATTTATAACTTTATATCATTAATTTCAGAGATAAAATAAACATAAGAAATTTGAATATACGTACTTTTAAAGTTTCATCATTTATATATGCTATGATAAATGGGAAAAGGATTGTTATACAACTACTCCAATGAAATAATAATAATATCAAAATTAATAACCATATAATTTTTTCGTGAGCATGTGAAAGTACAAAATACTAGAGAAGATATATTATCTTAATCTTATATCTTAATAAGTTTAAGTTATTTTTTTTTACATTTTTAAATTTTTATATCTATTTCTTACTGCGTGAAGTATTTGTCCGATGTAGTGACGTAATGTATAAATACGTACAATTTTTAAAAGTGGTAAAAATTCGGGAATCAGTAATAAAGAATTTGAATTAGGTCCAGGAGGTAAAATACGATCTTGATAAAACCAAACATATGGAACCGATGATATAAGATCAAAAAAAAAATATCCTTTTATATAATTTCTAAAAATAATACTTGTTTTAAAAATATATTTCATCGATTAAAACATAATTTAAATTAAAAAACTTAAATAAATTAATGAATTACTGAATTATCAAAATTGGATCAAGAAAAATTTCATGACCATCCTTTGATTCAAAACCAGTTATCATATTAAATCCAATATCGCATAAGCAAATAATATATGCAGGATATACTAAATTCCAAATTTTTGGATCAGAACTTTTAGCTACTCTATGAAATGCCAAAATATATGGTATTGCAACAAACATGTACAGGAATGTAAATGTCATTAAGAAATCCCAATAATATCTATATAAATATAAATTTATTTTAAAATTATCTTTTTAATTATATTAATTATATTATTATATTCTTAATTATATATTTTGAAAAAATTAAAATTACCTTAAGTTACTACAAGGATGTATTACCCACCATGCTGTAGAACGCCCGTGTCTTCTCTTTTCAAAAGCAATCGCGGCTAAACTACGTAGGTAATTCCGAGTTAAAGGATGAGTTATAGAAACAAGAAAAACTTTCTGAAAATTTCGTTTCCAACGAGTATAAAATCTTGCATTTGGAGGTAATTTTGGTAAATTACTGTCAGATTTTTTTGGTAATTCGCAAACATGAACATCTAATAATCTCTTTCGCATTCGTTGCATCTTTATTTTATAATTACTTTATAAAATGATACAATGATATCATATGGTTTTAGAACTTTAATATATATTTCAAGAGAAGTTAAATCAGACAAATGATGCTAGTTTTTTTGTTTTCTTTTTTCTTTTTTTTTTTTTATATTTAAATAAAAAAATTATATATTAAAAAAAATACCAAAATGTCAGATAAGAAAGAAATTTTTTGTAAATTATTTGATATTCGAAAATGGATTCCTGAATTTTCAATTGGTAAATTTATTCTTTTTTCCTTTTCCATAATAAATATATAAATATTTTCACTGTAATAAATTGCCATAGAAAAGTACAACTTTCTAAGCGACGTAAAAAATGTATATATTAATTATATTTTACATGTTCTACATTGCAACTTAGACATGATATTTACATGGAAACTTAAGTAAAATATTCTTAAGAATTACTGTAATATTATGCGTGAAATCTATATCATAAAATCTCTAAATTACCATAGAACATATCAAAATCATTTTATACAATAACCTTTATATAAAATACATGATATTATATATTGTATCACAATTTGACAAATTTTTTACTGTACATATTAAAGTATAAATTGTAATTTCTTCATATTTTATTGTAAAATAATTTCATTTTCAAATCTTAGAGTATACATTAGTATGTACAATAAATTATTAATTTCCGGTCGATCAGTTTTAAACAAAATAATTATGTATTAATGATAAATATTAAAATTTTCTCAATAAGAAACCGAATTTCTCCAACAACGAATAAAAATATTCTATAAATAAAACAAGTAAATGTTCACGAACGATATGTAATATAGAAAAATATACAATATATATATATATATATATTATATATATATAAATTATTCGTCGCTGGTGAAATAAATTATATATGGAATGTAATTATTTTGATGTCTAGAAGTTATATTAATAGATTAAACATAGATTTTTGTTGAAAAAAATATTATGCCATCTTTTCAATATATTGTATCCTTCCTTTTTTTGTACTTCAGACTATATAAAACGAGCAGCTTTATGTTTTCGAGAAAGCTTAATAGTTTGTTTAAAAAATGAATCTATGAAGGATATGAAGCCAATAGGCAGTTACTCTATTTTGGTAGAATCCATTGGACCTAAAGCTCAAGAATTTTTAATACATGTACAATCTTCGATGTCTATTGATGGTCATTTCGGTGGGTCAAAAGTTATCAGTTCGGTGACATCGAAATTTCATTGCCTAGAAGAAAAGAGGACAGAGTTTGTTAATTTTTAGTAAACTTATGTTTTTTACATTCTTTTAAATAAAAATAATATTACATTAATATTATAGATTCATTTACGAAAATGGTCTATATGAAAAAACAATATTTATAGGAATAGAAGATAATTGTTATCATGTAAAATTAACACACACTTGTCCATGCGATAAATCTTCGGAAATTAAAGACTTATCCTTTTACACTAACAGTAGATTAATAAGTGAAGGAGCAAATATATTACTTATGCGATATTTGGCACTTATAAATTATGAAGGAATATTATCTTTTCAAAGCATTTCTATAGATGGAGATTCCACAGAATCTAATTATGTAAGAAAATATGAATATATTGATGAATTTAAATAACGAAATACATTTTTTATTAGATATGTACTCCTATTGAATGTATGGAATTAGATAATCGTGTGTTAAATGTTTATACGATTGAACGAAAACTATGTAGAGAAGATGGAACTGTTCATACTATAAGAACATATTTAACAGCAAAAGGTAGAATACTTCGACATAATTGGTTAGATGTGCCATATATTTTGAAAATTAATCCATTAGCAGATCTAAATATTCCAAGTAAAACAATAAGAATAGAAACACCATTAAAAGATTCTTGGAATGAAGATATTGAAATGTTTTCTAAATATTTAGATATAAAAGTAAGTAATATTTAATATATTTTAATGTAAAATAATTTATAAAAATAAAATACATATTTTATACATATATTATTAATAGTTTTCCAAAATCGCTGAAGAAACGGAATACTTAGCTGATCACCCGGAAATAAAACAATTAATTGCAGATTATATTCAAATACTGTTAGTTGGTAATCAATTTCTCGATTGGGAAAACATTGTACCAATATTTCTTAAACAGGTCAAATTGCATTTTACTTTTTACAATAATATATTAATATCTTTATAATTTACTGGTCTCCACAGTAAAACCAGAAAATGTGATAGACTTTACAATACAACATTTTAAAGCATTTGCAAAAAATCCAATGACTTGGGAGACCAGTACATTGAAAGAAGATTATGATAATAATGTAACATCACAGCTCACAGAAAAGAAGTTGGATACTTTATGCAATATCTGTGGATTTTATGTAGATTATACTGCATTGAAAAAGATTTGTTCGCAAGAAATTACATGTTTCACAGAAGAAAATCATGAAAAAGTAAATATTTTAATATACATTATATAATATAATATACTGTATAATAATTATAAATAATCAATTTCAGAATTCCAAAGTTATAAGCTCTATTGATTCAAAAAATTCAAATGATTTTACATCTGATATTGAAGAAAAATTGGATATATCTACTTCAATAAATCATGTGTCTAATTTTTCTTCACAATTAAAAAGAACTTGTGATCAATATGAAGCTATTATTAAATTTTATGACAAATATAAAGTAAATTTTATACATATTTATAATAAAATTATATACATATATTATATTATATTTATAAAACATTCATACAATTATTTAATTTTCAGTCTTATACCAAATGTTCTGAATGTTCTAAAATTTCTAAAATATGTACAAAATGTTCTATCATAGATCAAATATTACACAAATTAAAAGACTAAATAGCTATAAATTGTATTTGAGACATATAAACATTATTTTCAATTAATGCTAAAATTTACCTGTATCATTGTCTGTTAGGAGATGTATCTTTTTGGGAATTACATATAACGCAATTTTCCTAAAAAATAAAAAACATATAAAAATTGAAAAATATTTAAATTATTTAAAATTAAGATACATACCACTACTTCGAAATTTGGTAAACAATCTTCATGAAACGAATGTTTACAATAAAATACTACTAAATTTCTTGGTTCTGTAATAAAAATAATAAAAATAATAAAAAATGTAATAAAAATAATAAAAATTGCAATCAAAATGTTATTAATATTGTATTGTAAATAGCTTATTTTAGATACCTCTTATAATTATTTTTCTATGACAAGCTCCACACATTTGATCATCTAAAAAAAAAAGAAATTATATAATTATTATTATTAATTAATAATTGAAATTCTTATAAAATTTTCTTACATTCTTTCATAATTACAATTATTTTTATAATTAAATAATTTATAATTATTTATTACTAACCATCTATAAATATTCCTTTTTGATGACATTTAACTAATCTTTCATGTAAATTAAAATAATCATTAGATAAAATTTGTTTACATCCTTCTTGTACTGAAACTTGAAGATTATAATCACACATCATTTTAACTAAAGCTTTTTTCAGGCCTGGAATTTCTAGAGATGGTTTTATTCTTTCTACCATAAGTCTAGGATCGACATATGTACCTATTTTTTGCAAGAGAAATGTAATAGCTTCTGAAAGAAATATTTTAATATTATAATTTTAATATATTACAGTTGGAGAATTTAATATTATAATATTATAATTTAATAAAATATATTATTTCAATTTCTTACTAGGTTTATCTAGAGAATAAATAATCAAATCATTCCACAATTCTTCATCATCATGTTCCTGACAAAATGTAATTGCACTCTCCATATCATTCAATTCTCTAGTCATAAGTGCTAAAGCTTCAGAAGTATTTCCAATTCTACCAAGTAGATATACCATTTCTGGATAGAATTTTTTCTGACTACAAATATCTAATGCTTGTTGTATTGGATAATTATCAGAACGACGTAAAAGTGGTAATAATTTATCTCTTGAGTAATTAGCATAAAGTTGGACTAGCAATCCATGGTATGTACCTTTTGTATCTTTTTTATCTAATGCATCTAAATACTATTATAAATTATCTTTAAATATTAAAAGAAAGAAATTATAATATGTATTTCATATGTATTTTTGATCTTACCAAATATAAATATCGATGATTATGCTGTAATTTTTGTACAACAATATCAGATGGCACTCTGTCTTTTTCTAAAAAAAATTGTATAGCACGTTCCGCGTCTAAATCCATTAAACCTTCTATCATATCGTAAACAGTATTATACAATTGATATTTTTGAATAAGTTGAAATACATCCTTATGTCTCAACTTTAAATACATAGCTAACGCTTTGTCGTACTTTTCATCGTGAATGTATAAAATAGCTAAAGCTTCTAACAGTACATTTTGTCGTTGATTATGAATTAAAAGATGTTCTAAAACACCATTTACAACAGCTGCAACTTTATACAATTTTGGAGACCATTCTTTGACTAGTTGGAGAAATCCATCAGGATCCATTTTCAAATATTCATAAAGAACCATTTCATAAATTAATGGATCTAATGTTACATCACCTCTTGGAAGATAAGAAGAAATAGATCGCAACTGATGAACCCTTGCAAATTTATATACCTATAAAAAAATACAAAAAAATAATATAAGTAAAATTATAAATAAAACAAATAACTTAAAAAATAATAATACTAACTTCTTCTTCCCATAATTTTTTATCTTTTCCTAAAATTTTTAAACAGAGTTTGCCTGCTTCATCATATTTTCCACAACCTAACAAATGATCTAAGTATACACGACCAACATCAACTAAAGTATATTTTTTACAGTTTTTGCCATTATTCACTGTTACTGCTTCTAATGCTTGTTCAAATTTTCTATGATTTAATAACCATTCTATTCTATCATCTGCATCATATAAACTAGCTATAACAATATCTTTTGGGCTTACAATGAAAAATCTATAAATAGATATAAAAACAATTAGTTTTAAAATAATAAATTTAATAGAAATGAATATTTATTTTTAAATAAAAATACCTATTTTCTTCTTTTAGACAATCTAAATGATAATCATTACAACTATATTCTTTATAGCCACGAAGTGTAAGGGAATTTGCACAGACAAGAGAGAAAACCTGATATTTTGGTTCAATAACATGTAATGTTGGTCTCTGACTTTTTCCATTTTCATCTAATTCTTTCAAACAACCCAGTAATACTAATTGATTTTCTAAAGGTGCAATACCAGAAATATAAAAATCCACTCGGAAAGTTGAAACTAAAATTAACACTTTATTATTATATTATATTTTTATAATTTATAAGCTATAAAATATACCTGGATCTACTACATATTCTGGTAAGTCTCTGTTAACCATTTCTTGTGTTGATCTTTTCCTAATTTGACAAATTCGTACTATATCAACCCAACCAATTAGTAATGTTCTTTCATCTGACCATCGAAGATTACATCTATAATGTTCTGGTAATGCACTATATCAGAGAAAAATTATTTTAATCTTCATATCATATAGAATTTTTGTAATATCAGTTTTTTACTTACTCAGCAGATTTACTCCATTTAATAAGACCTAATGAACATCTGGCATTTAAATCATAAATTCTAACACCAGTATCGGATGCCCAAGCCACAAAATGACTAATCCATGCAATTGATCTTACTCCTCCTTCTGCATCACATAGTACAGTTAGTTTCATACGAGATAAAAAAGTTTTTTCATACAAAACCAATTTATCATCTCCTAAAAATAATTTTTATTTCAAAAAAATTAAAGTTTAACTTGTCTTAAAAAATTAAATACATAAAATAAAATAACCTGTAATAAATCTTCTTCCACTACCACTTTTGTAATAATTTGGATCTATAGCTATACTTTTAACTAATCTACCCATACTCATATTATGATTATTCTCAGTACTATAAAGACCATATATAAAAACTTTTCCATCATCACTACATGATGCAATGAAATCTCCATTATGATCTATAGATATCTGATTGACAGCAACTGTATGTGCTTGTAAACTTTTAGATTGTATATTATTTCCTTGATGATCTAAAAGATGTATCATACCCCAATGTGATCCCAAACATAGGAACTAAACAAAAATTAATTTATTATAATATATAAATATAATAAATTATATAGCTATTATAATTTAAAGAATTTATATATTAAGATATTTCATTTACATTATACAAAAGATTATGACCAAAAATCAGAATTTATGAAATTTATATATATAAATTTTATCATGGTTAACCTTTTCATAACTTGAAATTATTATTAACTTTAATATTTATAAATATTAGTGATTATATTTCACACCTTAGGATGTACTGCAATGCAACTAGCTGCATCATTTTGCAATATATGTTCCAAATCATTTCGTACCCTGACGTATTTGAGCCTAGGTTCTACTTCGTCTACTTCAGAGTCTGAATCATCTTGATTATTTTGATCTTCCTATAAAATAATTTGATACAATTGATACTTTAGCATCTTTTATTTTTGAAAAAGTTATTTAAATAATACCTTATTTGAGGTATTTTCCATGCCCGTTTCTTTAATTTTTTGGTTAAAGAGAAACTTGTCAATATTCGTAACCACGAAATGTCAAAACCTTTGAAACCTTTTACTTATATATCACAAATTTTTCTTTTTCTAATTTTGTTTCGTTATTTGCACTTTACATTGATTAACATTACAAAACAATCATTACAGAATGAATATATTAAAAATTTTTAAAAATACATTTTCAGTAAATATATTTCAAAAAGACAATCATATCAATACAGTAATTCAATTCTAATATACTATACTAATAAATATTAATATAGTTTATTTTACTGTGATGAAAGGTTAATGTGAGTTAGTGCTAGGTATACTGATTATGATGATAAAGAAAGCAATTTTTCTTATGTCTATTGCATAAAAACAATATAAATATTGCTTGTTTAATTATTATATCATATAAATATTTGTAGATAAATTATTTTTAATTTAATTAAATTTCTTTAATAAAATAATTCAAAATGTCAACAAACAATTCTATGTTCGATGAAAATACAACAATCTCACGAACTCCACAAAAACGCAAAGAAATTCTAAGAAAAATAATAACTAAGGCTCAATCTTTACGTAAGATTTTGAATATATATTATAAAAGAAAAATAAATATTATATTTAATATAAATTTTTCAGAAGAATCAATTAATGATGAAACTATAAAAACTCTGGAATTATGCATGGAAGAAACAGACAATATAAATTCCGAAACAAGTATAGAAGAAAAGGGTATATAACTTCTGAATATGTTTTCATATTTCATTTAATTCAATTTTTTGTTAAATATTTTTATTATTTAATTATATAATTATTTTTATTTTTTTAGTGCATAATCAAGAAGAAGTGTTAATGGATTCAGAAATGATGCACATATCTTCTAATGTTTTAAAACATTGTACAAGATCCTTAACAAAAGTTGTATGCTCATATAATCATGTAGAATTTGCTAAAAAAATAGTATGTATCATAATAAATTTTTTGTTTTTAATAATTGTTCAAAAATAAATTTTATCTATTTAACTTAGGTACAATATGTAAAACAACTTCCAGATGTTGAACCAGAAACACCAGATTGGTCACTTCTGGAATCGCAAGTTATAAAATGCTTTAAAAGAACACCTCGATATAGTACATTACTAGGTTTTATTCAATTTTACTATAAAATTTGTATAACTAATATTTATTTTTTATTACATTATATATTTATTTCATATATATTTTAGGTACTTTAACACCATTAGAAAAAAAGGAAATTAATAAAAAAAAGCCTGCAAAAGTAAAAGAAACTCAAGCACAAATTAAAAGACCAGATAATGTTGTAACAATTGAAAAGGAAGAAGAAGGACCAGAAGAAACTGTAAAAATGAAAGAGTTTATCTCTAAATATTATAAAATTTATCGCAAACCGCTCGATTTTTTTAAATTAATTTTACATCCTAATGATTTTGGAAAAACAATTCAAAATATTTTACAAATATCTTTTCTTGTTAGAGATGGAAAGATAAAAATAACTAAAGGTACAATGTTAGTTTTTGCAATTATTAAAATCTATGTATACTTTTATTTATTAAATATTATTTTCTTGATAGATGCATCTGGAATACTAGTTGTTCAACCTTGTACTAAAGATATGACAGCTCAAATGAAGACAGGAAATATCGAAAATATTCAAAATGTAATGTATTTAAACATGGAACAATGGAAGGTAATGCTGCTATTTTAAATTTTTTCAAATTATATATATATTTTTTTTAACATTCATTTTATATTTTAGATCCTGAAAAATATTTATCGATTGGAAAATCCATTAATTGAATCTGAAATAAAATAATTTTCTTTAATTTCTATTTTCTTTTTATCTTAAACGAAAAATTTTCGTAAAAACAAAAATATTTGGTCTTTTTCTCTATTTTTGTAAAATTTTTATTAATTTCTAACATATACTATAATATTAAAGTATATGTTATAAATAATAACAATATCAAATTAATATGAAAACATCTGAAACAAAATTACACAATTTATATAAAATTTATGGTTAATTATGTTCATGATGTTTTCGAAAAATTCATATACTTTTTGTGAAATTTCGAACGGAAAACAATCTTCTAATCCACGTATATTGTTGTTTAAAAATCCCTATACTTTTGGATAAAAACTAATATTTATAGAAAAAAAGAAACAGGCCTGTATTATTAGAAGATCGTTTTAATTACTTTTTAATGACATGATTAATGACTGTGAATTAATTTATTGTTTTGCCAACGATTCTGCTTTTGCTACTACTTCTTCAATTGGCCCAACCATGTAGAATGCAACTTCCGGCAAATGATCATAATCTCCAGCAAGAATTTTCTTAAATCCTTTAATAGTTTCTTCTAATGGTACTAATTTACCAGCGTGACCAGTAAATACTTCAGCAACCTATATAAAGAAGATTAATTAACAAAAATAATATTATGAAATATCGTCAATATCGTAAAATGTGTATTCATATGTATACCTGGAATGGTTGAGACAGGAACCTCTGAATTTTACGTGCACGTGCAACAGTGAGTTTATCTTCTTCTGATAATTCATCCATACCTAAGATAGCAATAATATCTTGAAGTGATTTGTAATCCTGTAAGATTTTCTGTACGCCACGAGCAACATTATAATGTTCAGCACCAATTATATTAGGATCCATGATACGAGAAGTGGAATCAAGGGGATCGACAGCAGGGTAGATACCTAATATAATATCCAAAAAAAAGAGAAAATCATAAATTTTCACATTATTGAACTTTAATATAAAAATTATAAAAATAAGTATTTATATTTACCTAATTCAGCAATAGCTCGAGACAATACAGTTGTAGCATCTAAATGAGCAAAGGTAGTGGCAGGCGCAGGATCTGTCAAATCATCAGCAGGTACATAAATAGCCTGCACAGAAGTAATAGATCCTTTTTTGGTTGTTGTAATTCGTTCCTGCATACTACCCATATCAGTTGCTAATGTTGGCTGATAACCTACAGCAGATGGAATACGACCTAACAAAGCTGATACCTTTAAAAAAAAATAACTTTTAATAAAAAAATATATTTAAATTATAACATAATAAAAAAATAATATATACTTCAGAACCAGCTTGAGTAAACCTAAAGATATTATCAATGAATAATAATACATCCTGTCCTTCTTGATCACGGAAATATTCGGCAACGGTTAAGCCAGTTAAAGCGACACGAGCACGAGCGCCTGGAGGTTCATTCATTTGACCATATACCAGAGCTACCTTGGAAGTTTTATCTTTCAATGATATGACTCCAGATTCAATCATTTCATGATATAAATCATTTCCTTCACGAGTACGTTCACCCACACCAGCAAATACAGAGTAACCACCATGGGCTTTTGCTACATTATTGATTAATTCCATAATTAATACAGTTTTTCCAACACCAGCACCTCCAAATAGACCTATTTAAATATAAATACCTATTTAATTAAGTTGATATGAATAAATTGCATATTATAAGTGTATAAAATATAAATTTTACCTATTTTTCCTCCTTTAGCATAAGGAGCAAGAAGATCAACAACTTTTATTCCAGTTACTAAAATTTCCTGTTCAACAGACATATCTACGAATTCTGGAGCATCAGCATGAATAGGAGCAAGTTTATCAGTAGGAATAGGTCCACGCTCATCAATTGGTTCACCAATAACATTAATAATGCGTCCCAATGTCTCAGCACCAACAGGAATACGAATAGGATATCCAGAATCCAGTACATTTTGTCCACGAACAAGACCTTCAGTACCTATTTGATTATTTCAATATAAGTAAAAAATTTTTATAAAACTATATAAATATAAATTTTTTTTTTATTTCTATATTTTTTATTATATTTTATATTTAATATACACAATTATAACATGAAATTACCATCCATAGCAATAGTGCGTACTGTGTTTTCTCCCAAATGCTGTGCTACTTCAAGGACTAGCCTGGGGGTGCGATTTTGTACTTCCAAAGCATTAAGAATTGGAGGAAGAGCATCATCAAATTGTACATCAACAACTGCACCAATGACAGCAACAATTTTTCCTTGAGCTCCACCTTTGGAGCTTGCAGCTTTTGCATAATCTCTACCTAATTATAAATAATTATGCCTTAATATGTACTTTTGCATATAATTAATTATTATTTCTGAAATTATATATATATA